CTATCGCCACCGACAGTTGCCTCTAATTTTTATTCTTCTACTTTCCAGAATCTGTCGAGCCACGATTTGCCGTCGATTATCCGTTACGAGATCCGAATTCTTTAGACCCCGTAAATTTTCTCTCCGCGCTCTCTGTACCGTTCCTAATACAATCACCCGTTATATTGTATATACGTTTATTTCGTAATTACTGATATTCTATCAAATTGCTTGACTACCGTTAGACACGGCTTCTACCTCCTACCTACCGACAAATAGAACAGACGCGCCTATATGGTCAAAGATGCGGAATCTGGTTCACCGAGCATGCAGTTTCACATTATGGAAACACGAATTCCCATGGCTTTCCCCGCGATGACGAAAAGCCGTATACATATATCAATGGGCCTCGTTGTCGGCTACAACCCGTATGATGGTTATGAATGAAAGTGTTTAAAAATAATACACACGTTATCAAGCCTTATCAGAGCCCTCCAGTGGTTTTTTTTATATCACGAATGTGTTATAGCAGGTAGTAGCGAGGCTGCGTAACGCTTGCATTCGGATAACCTGAAAGAAGCCACGAGCTACGGATTATACTGACATACCAAAGATCAAAGTAACTGATCAATCAACGTATCGAGGGATGCTGTTGGTCCAGAAGATAAAGGAGATGAGAAAAAAATAAGATGGGTCGTCGTCACCAGATCTAAAGGCCCAATCCAAATGCCCTAAGACAAAGGACACTTAACGAGTTCAAAATTGGCATATAGCTCTTTTACACGGTTTTTTGCACTGAGTTAATTATGGCACCCTTTCAACCCCATAACTCCATTTTATTTTTCCACCCCGCACCCGCCCCTCTTTCGCAGCGATCAAAAGCGTCGAGCCCGGTGCGATCGATCCGTCGCCTCTTTGCCGAAATCTGTTAACGACCCAAAGCGTAGAGACGCCGCGCGTCGCGACGCCTGGCTCAATAAGAAATGCCGCCGGTCGGTCGACAACCAGATGAAAGCAACGAAGTTAACTGATGCGCCGACACTTTTTTTTTTTCAAAATTTTTTCAGTGAAATCGACGACCAGGTAAACGAAAATTTTTGCAAATTTTTCGGATATTTGCGAATTTACTTGTTTCCACGAAATTCTACGTCCTTGCGTAATGCGCGACGGTCCATGCGTATTGACCGATTAGCAATTTGCGGCAATGACTGTCGATTCAAGGATCCGATGCACGTGCGGTAAGGGTAGGAGCAGTCGGTGAGGCTAATATGTACAGGAGAAACGAGTAAAGTTAACCTAAGGGCTGATTCTCAATAGCGGATCGTACAACGAGGACTAATTGGCTAATTGACTGTATATCGTAAGGCAAATGAAGTCTCAATCGAAAGTCGATGCTGCGTCGCGGCGCACTTCGTTATCGAGTCCAGTATTATTAACGCTGCCAGTGGCGCTCCAGTTTCGTAGCAATAAGTACGGCTAATAATAGCAAAGTGTGGGTACGCCGCCTGTGTACCACCCCACCCTACGTTCCGGGGAAGCGAAGGGGGAGGAAAGCGGAAATACGTCATTGGCCCGTCGGACACGCGACGCAAACGTATTGCTTCGTCCCCGGCAGAAACGCGCAATTGCCAAATGTGCTTTAAGGGTATTAAAGCAACAAAAAAATTATTAATTAAAAAAAGAAAAAAAACCAACCCCCGTCTCTATAACCGATAACCCCTAGCGTGAAGATCGCAATCGTCGAAAAACCATCAACCTCCAAGGATAATAACACCGAATCAGCCTTGAGTGCGCGTTCGCGCGATGCGAATATGATTTCGTGTCGGAGGAGAAAGGAAAAAAAAAGATATCAAGGGGGATGAATTCGGAGAGGGGGTGCTACAAAAAAAAGCCGCCAAGTAATCTATTTCTGGCGGATTGACGTAAGTGAATTATTGGGTGCAATGGTGGTACGCAGGCTGAGAAATTCTGAAAGGGGGGAAATGTCGATACGCGAAGACAATACGTAGGATGGGTATACATATAGCTTGGTACATGGACAGGTAGATATAAACGTGATCGCCCCCTGCGATGACGCAAGTCTAAGGATCGTTTGTACATTCCTCCAACCCTTAACGCCTACGTAATCTTCAAAAACTTTGCTTAGGGTCTACGTAGGTCTCTATGTATAATTATATATATATATATATATATCAGACCACCTACTCATTTTTCCCATCCCTTGATAACCTACACACTTTCCTACTTTACCTGTTAGCAACACTCTACCATTATAAAGGGTGAGTAGAAAATTTACCCGATATTCCTTATCCAACGTTGTTGACGTATCTTGAAAAAGGTCAGGGGGCCATAGAGATGACGAGGCCTTTACGGTTTTTAAAAATATCTTATTGTCGTACCAAAAACAAAGAAGACTGTTATCAGTGTTACGATAGAAGAAGTTGGAGACAATCGAAACTATAATTATCAACAAGCAGATGAAAATAGGAGAATACAGGTTCTATTTTAAGGTACGACAATACAGAACATTAGTTACCTGTATCAATAGGTCATTGAGGTTATTTATAGCCGGCTAATCGTGTATTTTCTGGCTCTACCTTACCGACGCGCGGGCGATGCATTACCGACGAGCAGACCTACGTAAGAGAACAGTAAAGCTCAGAACGGCAATGGCAAACTCGACGACGAGAGACTGCAGTTGTCGTCAACGAGAAAGTTTTTCCGGCAGTGTTGACGTACGTTGATAAAAATATCTACATTAACGAATGAACGCACTTTACTCGAGAATTGCAGACAATCATTTCCGGTGACGCTTGAATATTTTATACGGAAAAACAAAAGGCTATAATCGTGACAGCTAAGAGGTTATGTACGATCGTGTGGTGCTTCGTGGTACCTTAAACTTTTTGAGCCTTCGTCCGAAAGAGACAGAGAGGGAAAGTGGGTTGAAAAAAGGTGAGAAAGGACAGATATAAAAATGGTGAAAAACCATAGCCATAACAGACGTCGCGTCGCTCAGCGTCTAACCGTTTCTAACGGTTCAGGTATAAAAACACTGGTGTAGATTTAGTGTCGAGGGAAAGCGTGCTGGATAGAGGCGGGAGGTTTAGGGTGAGAATGGAAAAAGATTAGGGGTGCCTCACAGCACTGGGCCAGTGGGATCTCATTTAGTCAGTGTGTACCAACCTTGAAAAGCTGGCAAGAAAAATTTCTACTCTTGAGTACGAGACGGACGGAGCCAAAACCTTTCACGGGGGAGGTTGTGTTTAACGCTCTTATCTCCGTAGGGTGGTTTATGGAGTCCATTTTTTTGCTCTCATACCGAGCTACCCCTATTACCCCTATCATCGGTTTGCATATTTCCATTTAAGTTCTCAGATAAAGATTCGACGACTTTGTGTTAAGACTTGAATTTGTCGGATGCTTTTGTGGATATCGAAGAGACGAATACTCGTGTGCATATTTTGTACGTCAAGTCCAGGCAAACAAGGATGAATCATTTTTTTTATAATTAAGGAAAGGCAATGGAATATTTTCATGATTCCCGCACGAGCGTTGCAGAGAGTTGTATTGTCAATGTCATCGGTAGAGCATGTGTAATTTGATATTATTCAAGTGAATAATCAAGAGATGAACAAAAACTTTAGCATTAATATTATAAATCCAAAGCACGTATGGCATATGTGGATTTCTATATCCACAAGTGTTTGAACGTTTATATAATATATATATATTATATGTGTATATAGACTTGTGTACATAGCCATTGAAGAATTCCATTGAAAACTAGTATAGGAACCTGTCCAACGTCACGTAGGAGATGCTAGAATCCAAACCCGATATTGTTTACTATTGGTAAAGCTATAGGGGATTATGGGGGGTGAAGATTTCAGTGATTCTCAAGCATCGTCAGCAAAGACAGGGGTAAGTATGTAAGTAGAATGAATTTGAAAAAGAGAGGAAGAAGTAAAAGGCGGCTGGCATAGAAAGTGCATCGTGTGACTCACCACGTGAACGTTGGAAAGGCCAACAGGCTCGCTCTGCTTCTTGTCCGTCTTCTTGGCCTGTCGCTTGGCCTTGCTCTCGAGGAAGCGTTGCTTGAGCGCCAGGGTGTCCTGTATGTTCTGCTCGCATAGTCCATTGAAGCTCTGATCAAATCGTGGAATACAATCAGTCTGTCGTCTTCGATAATTTTCTAATCTACGTCTGAGCCTATCGACAACAGCCTGTTTCTTGGGGGTTAACACCTCCCCCATACCGGGAGCCTGCCCCATTTGTTGCTGCAGCTGCAGCTGCTGATTCGTCACGTTCAACTGGTTGTTGGGGTTAAGATCAGCCGGCTGGATTGGAGATTGGTTAGGATTGTTTGGGCCCTGGGCCGCACCCGCGCACACGGAAATGGGCCCTGGGGCTGAGCCGGGGGGGCCTTGTGGGGGCTGGCGGGGCAACAGCCCCCCGGCCTCCATACAGCCCCCTAGATCCACCGCAGAGTAAGCCAGCTCAGTGAGAGCCCCTGCTACTATAAGGCCAGCCGCGTGCTGCAACCTCTTCCGTAACCCCACGCATCCTCTGCCGCCCCACTGCAATCCTCAACTTCCGCTCAACGATCATCTGAGAACGCTCATCCGCGGAGCTAGTTTTTCGTCACGCAAGTTTCCATATACTCTTCGAATTCCTCCCGGTCCTCTTTCTTCGTTATCACTTCAACTTCACTACTGCCTATTGTTCCACTTCAGTATTCAAGGTCAATCAAACCAACCACTCTAGGTACTATACGTACGGGTACTGTCTTTACATCAGGTTAACAGTCACACTCGAAATTGATCTAAGAGTTGAGTATCTTATTAAGTGAATCCGTTCTCACTAGCACTAATTCACTTTTTCTCACTGTCGCTCTGATACCATACCGCTCAGACCTTACACTCCGTAACGAGAGAAGGCGGTTAAGAGCCGGTGCAGAAGACTTGGTCAAAGTTAATCACTGTCCACTACGTGTTTATAGATAACTAAACCAATACGAAGAAACCGATAAGCCACAAACGATGCTCAACATTCGTGCACTTTCCTCGGTTGTTTGCAAGGCAGAAACAACAATCCAGTTTTCACTCTCACCGCACGTACCGAGAGCCCACGTGTCCACTTCACAACTCACTGTCACAAAACCGACCGAACCTCAGAGGAGGTTAATACGATGCTGCTCTCTTAAAATCACTGAGAGTCGGTAGAACCGATTCAACTATACTGTAAACAATATTAACAGCTCCTTCCAGAGTATGCCCGGCTGACCTCCGTTGTTTTTAAAACGAATGTCCTCGAACATTGCCGAACATGCACGATGCGAAACGGCAGTAACTTCTTCAGTTCATGAGTTCCTGGGATACTACAGATTCTCGGTATCCTCCAAAGAGTCTTTCTCGAACACGCGCGCCACGCAATGGTATCTAATAAAAAATAAAAATTGCACGATTTTCAACACGTTTACCATTTCCCTCTTTTAAAATCGTCTCTGTCAGAAATACTTGGTACGAAGTATGTCGCGCCACTCTCTGCTACGGCACGACGCTCGCGCGACTAAATTCCCGATAAGAAGTGGCCGGGAAGCGCGCCGCTGCCAGAGCCAGACCTCCACGATCTCGATCGGTTTCTCTGTCTCTCCCTCTCTCTCTTTCTCACTCTGTCTCATGAGCAACCTCTCTGTCGTTCACGAGCGCACCAGTCCCTCTCTCTCGCTCATCCAGACTCTACTCTCCACTATGTATCTCTCTCTCTGCCTCTTTCGCTCTCGATCAGCCTATCTGACCCAAGAGTATCCCTCTCTTTCCTGCTCTTTGCTTCAGCACCTCAAGAGAAAACACTAGGCTTATTCTCATTGACTGAGAATCGAGCCAATACAGCTCGCACTATGGATACCGATTGTGTCCGGCCCGGTGAGCGTTTTCCTTTGCTGAACGTCACAACAGGTAGTTGAGCGAGGGCAGCGTGTTCCTCTTCGACTTGCTTGATACAGAGAATCCAAGTGGAGAATCCTCTCGTACTAGTTGGAACGAGTCTCAGCAAGAGACTCGGGAACGGTACGAGTTCCTTCTCTCCTAGAAAAGGAAGGAGAAAGGGATAGAGAGAGTCTCAGGAGTCTCTGACTAAGGAGGAGTCATAATTGAGGGTCTACTACATGTGCTGGAAACAAGAGGGTTGATTTTTCAGTTTTTCTTCACAATTTTTGTTTACTATTCCGTACGTTTTCAAAATTGTACAATTCTTTATGTATATCTCAAGCTTTTTCCACCATTCAGTCTCTTGTTACTCCTGAAATGTTATATACTGTTCAGTTTATAAGGGATGTCTTTGAGGGGAATCTTTTCAATAGAAATTCACCGGGTAATCATAACGTCCTTCTCTGGAATCTCATAACGGCAACAATATCAGAAATGTCACAATTATGCACCAGACACAGGATCACGCAGCAACACTTCTCTTTGTCCTACGGAAGATTGTATTAACGGTATCCACTCGTTTCCTCCGTACTCAACAGTTTTGTCTCCTTGGCGTGTGCCCTTTGTCTAAACTTTTTTTCAATTTTCGTAACGACAGCGCCGTGTCACTTGCACTTATCAACGGTCACAGTTCCTGGTCACATGTCACTTCTATACTGTATTGGCATCAAACGACGCGCGAAAGACACTCCAAACAATTACATAACCTCACTTTTCGACTGTCACTCACGTCTATCAGACGTCAACGCGTTAATCGCGAAACTAATAATGACACGCGACCCCGCAGACGACGCTTGTGTACGTAAACGACCGTTTGGATTGCCCCTCGTGAACGCGCGGGGCCATTAACAGAACTGCGCGTGGGTACAGGAGCATATATCGTTCAAACGGTGAACCATAATTATGGAGACTGACAACACTGCTGCCTAGTAGACGGATGACAAACTACTAAGCCTGGATGCTGCCGGCCGATCGCGCTGTCCCTGCTGCCATCTTGTACTGGAGACTTTTATTGCGGGATTGCGGGTTGTAGATGCATTACGATATTTGAAGCAAAACTTAAGTAGTAAATTTGAATATAGATAACGCTCCATTAAACATTTTGTTTGTATACTACGGAAAATAATGACTGTTCTTTATTTGAATGATAAAGCTGATATCTACATCATCCATTACGATTAAGGTCGTGATCTTCTTACCCAAGGAGTAAATAATTGAATGCGATGTTGCTTGAAAATCCGTATTTTCGTAACGTTTATTGGCTATTGTTGAGTAGATAATCGTCGAATTCGATCTTGCAAAAAGCGGTACTTCTGATAACCTTGACGACTAATAAGTTAAATTTTATAATTTCAGTGGGGTTATACGATTGGGTAGTAGAACGTGCCAAGCTGTTGACGTTGATAAAGTTGGCTGGTTTTTCTCAATAATAGAAACCATTAAATTGTTTGTAGTTGATTATTGTAGTGTCAGTTGTTAATTTATACAAAATGAATAATCCGTTTGATAGTTGTCTTGTGGTGTGCAATTTATTCATAATTGTCAGTTGAGCTGACTTTATTTAACAACCTTATTGCAAGTGCATTGTTATAAACAGTCATGGCAAGTAATGTACAAAGGACTAAAAGTAAAATTCCATTTATACCAGGCACTAAGCCTTCAGCACAGAATGCACAGTTACTTATTTCTACTGGAATACCATCTCTGGATCATGTAATTGGTTTGTATATTTATTGACGTTTGTTTCATTGTTCAATATTCAGAAATTTTAGTAGCATGGTTTTTGTTACAGGAGGAGGTTTACCAGTTGGATCTATACTCTTAATAGGTTTGTACTGAATGTTTTGTTAGGATGTACTTCTCAATGTTTTATATCGCAATTTTTAATTTATATACTATCTTTTTTTAGAGGAAGATACTTATAATAGCTATGCAAAAATTATGCTCAAATATTTTATGGCTGAGGGTATCGTCTCTTCGCATTCTCTCCTTATTGCTTCAAGAGACACGAAGCCAACGCAGCTGTTGGCGGAACTGCCTGCAGTTGCAGTTAGTTCCTCTACAAAATCCAAAACACAAGCAACGGATGAGCAAATGAAGATTGCTTGGAGATATCAGAATATGAAGATAGTAGATGCTTCTCCAACAGGAGGACAAGTCTTTGGTCGCTTTTATGATCTTACTAAAACAATGGATAGTGCAGATATCGAACATGCTGATATTATAAAATGGGATGGAAACGATTTGAAGTGCAAGGCTGAGTCCTTTGAAAATAATGCTTATGTAGATTTGTTAAAAACAGTACAAGAAACATTGAAGCATGGACAATTCCTTGTTTCGGATAATCCTGAAAAACGCAAGATTTTAAGGATAGCAATTCAGTCGTTAGGGTCGCGATTATGGTTGTGCAATACCGAAGAGAGTACTCGTTGTGATCTTCTAAAATTCCTCTACTGCTTTAGGTCACTGCTAAGGAGTTCTTATGCCGTAGCAACCATTACAGTTCCTGCTCAAAACTTTGACAACACGGTATTACTCCCGCATCTTTATCCTATAAATTGAAGTTACATACAATAGTTTAGCTCATATACATTAATTGTCTTTATAGGATGCTTTGGTAGAACGAATTGAACACTTGTCGGACACTGCAGTTAGATTGGAATCATTTGCTGGTTCCGCAAAGGAAACCAATCCTATCTTCCGAGATTATCATGGCCTGTTGCACATCAAGAAACTCTCTGCCTTCAATACATTAGCACCACATAATCCAGAATCTACTGATCTAGCATTCAAATTACGACGCAAAAAGTTTGTCATAGAGGTAAGCCTTTCGAAATTCGATTGTATTATTAACAGTAAGCAATTTATATATATTCAAGAATATTACTTTTCAGGTCTTACATTTACCGCCAGAATTGGACGATACCGCACAAAGAGAACAGGACGACTCCTCGGCTATAGGAAGTTGTGGCAGCGGTAATTCGAAAAAGTTATTGGAATTTTAAGTATTCAAAGTAAAACAAAATCTCGTAGCATCTTACTTCACGATAACGACGGTTCTAAGCATAATTATTTCTGACATTTAAATAAATAACAAGTACACGCTCAACAAGATAATTATAACTAAAACAAAATTAATATATATATATATGTATACACCTATACGCCAAAAACAATATTTTTTTTACTTTGATACAAATTTTCGAAAGATCATGTAGACTTGCATATGTACTGACTTCCATTAGATATATTTCATATATCACGTTAACCAATGATATCGACTAGCTACGAATAAAGGGCGCTTTTTAAATATCAATCATTTTCATGATGTATCAAAACGTATCTCTTAAAGCGCCCTCCACTCATTATATATTAGACATTACAAACAAATATAATTAAATATATTTAATTACCGATTCCACAATAACATTGTCAAACAATTAATAAATATGCAACCAACACTTGTCTCATTTAACCGGAAGTGCGCGACGTGCTATAGTGAATAATGCAGGCGGTAGGAGATAGGCTTCATGCACACTTACAATAATGCGCATAAAAATACCTGTTGCTCTGAACCAGTACCTTTACGTATTCGAGTTCAAAATTAAGCGTACCCCCCCGCCAGGCCTCTCCCCGTGCCTCCCTCTAACTCATTATAATTATACCATAAGAGTAAAGATACACAGTTTAACAGATAATTCTAATTAATTAACCTATCATTCAATTCATTACAATTGTCAGTAGTAATAATCAAAGATAAAAGTACGTGGAAAATTTTCTGTATAGTTCCAAATAAAAAATGGTTCCACCATCTGCCGCATTGTCAAAGACCGCCCCGTACCTTTATAGGGGGCGTTCTACTCAAGCGTGACATTAATTATCCTAAAATGGAACACACCTTCGTCATTGGCTTGGTGTCTAGTTCTGTACATACAATATGTGTGTGTGCTCTTCATCCCCTCTGCTTTTCCGCACCTTCCTACTTCCTTCCGGTTGTGTTCGGTATGTTTCGCTTCAGGGAATTTCTACGCAAGCGCACGTACTAGCGCCGGTATTTCCTACGGCACTGGTCAACCATCATTCGAAACGAGAGGCGCTTTAGTCTTCACGTGAACGGCAATTGGTAGAGTTGAAAAGTTGCAGATTTAGAGAAAATTATAAAACAACGTGTGCAAGAGTGTAATAATACTGTTCGGGGATCATAAAAAAAAAGTGTCATCACAATACTAGACAAATAGTTGGTGAATCATGGAAACAAAAGGGAATAAAAATCCGAATGATAAATATTGGCTGATAAAGTGAAATGCGTCGATTTCCGTTAAGTGGCTGACAAAAGCATCTCTTTGGATTTATTACGCGGGTGAATCAGTAGTTTGAAAAATGAAGAACCGAAAGCTGGGTATCTCCAGAGCTTTCGTCTGTTGTTCCAACATCGTATTTCTAGTGAGTATACAATGTCACGATAACGAATATTCATTTAGCTATAAATCACAGTAGAATTGTATCATTGAAACATGCTGCTGCTACCGGAAGTTCTTTCGTTTCACTTTCAGTTGTCGGGATTCGCGCTGATGTCATTAGGAGCCTTGCTATTGGCTGACAGTGATCGTGTTCTGCTGTCAAGATTGTTAGGATCGGGAGATGCTCATCCCGAACAACCCCTATTTTATTACTTAGCCTTCGCCATCGTAGGAGTAGGCTTTGCTATTGCCATTACTGGACTTCTTGGATGCTGGGCCTCCTGTCTCTTCAGCTGCTGCATCACTGCTTCGGTAAGGTCTTTTAACCAATTACATCTTAAATGAACCTAACGCCACCTCTAATTACCCTTAATTCACTGTGACGTGGAATAATGTCACTAAAATAATACTGACACCAAGTTCCTAATAAAAGTCACTGCTTTAACTGACAACAATTTACGCAACAGGATTCACGTATGATCGACGTCGATTCTGACAGAAAGCGTCACTCTTGCCAATCACTTAAAGCGACAATGACGAAACTGAAATATCTAATCAGTCTTGCAATTACAATACCTATGTGAAGTTGGCTGGTTGACTTTTATTTTTTAAACTTTTTCTTATTCCAATTGTTTGATAATGTTTATTAGTTTTGTATAAATGTTTGATAGTCAATAGTTTTTTCAGAAAATCAAAATCAAAATCTGATTTCAAGTTAGCGGTCACTTTTTTGTTTCTAATCAGATTTAGCTTTTCAGGGGCTCACTTGATGAAGAAGAATCATTTGATAGTTTTTAATTAACTAATAAAAATGCTTGACAGTCCATCGTTTGCTAGAAAAATGAAAAAAACTATATGCGATTCGAGGATCTCAATCGATACGGTACAATCGATTCCTCGATCGGTGTATCCGTTGATTTAGACAATATTACAAACTTTTTCTACTTCCAATTTTATTGATAGGCTTTTAAAATTGTTTGTTTGTCAAACGAGTTTTCAGAAAAGCCTATTATGTGCCTCGAGAAAACTGATTCTGGACAAGAAGCAAGGAAATGTCAGCCAACTTCACATCGATGTAGGTTTTCTGAAAATACTATTGACTATCAAACGTTTTTATAAGACTATTAAACAATTGGAAATAGAAAAGTTTTCAATATTGTCTAATTCAATGGATACACCGATCGAGAAATCGATTGTATTGTATCGATTGAAATCCTCGAATCGCATATAGTTTTTTTCATTTTTCTAGCAATCGGTGGATTATTATATGTTTTTATTAGTTAATTCATAACTATCAAACGATTTAGCATCGATTGAGTCCCTGAAAAGCTATATCCGATAACAAGCAAAAAAGTGCCGGTCAACTTAACACCAGATTTTGATTATGATTTTTTGAAAAAACGTTTGGCTAACAGACGTTCTTACAAGCCTGTCAAACGCTATCAAACGATTGGAATACGAAAAAGTTTAAAAAATAAAAGTTCGTCGGCCAACTTCACACAGGTATTTACAATCCTTAACGAAGAGTAATATCATTATTGATGACTATAAAAAGATATTTAATGTATATATAACGTAGTTCGTTAATTGGGATGTAACGAAGGGGCCCCTCGATAACGGTCGGCCATTTATAATTGCCAGGTACATATACATAATGGGCATAGATTATAATGAGTCGGAGAGAGAAAAGATCGGCAAAACTGACCCAACTGAAACGAGATTTCCACTTTGCTGGACTACGGTCACGCGCCGTTGCCCGGAAACGGATATAGACCCATCCGAACGTGCTGGTATAATGTGAAGAGGGATTCGTGTTATACGTGAAAAGTGTAACTAGTCTGCCATTGTTTTGATGCCAGTTGTGCTATATGTATAATATTGTTGTTAATATAGAATACAAAATAATTATTATTAACAACTATAGAACGGACGAATAATTTTCATATTTTTACGTTACAGTATCTAATCACAATCATTCTACTTTTACTCGGGGAATGTGCTCTCTGCATTATTGCTGTTTTCTGGCCCCATCTATTGGGCGTTGACGTAAGACCCGCAAGATTAGTTCGAGCCTTACAAAGAAGTTACGCTGTACCCGGACGCGAACAGTTCACAGCTGCTTTGGATCTGGCCCAGACTGCTGTGAGTGATTTTGTAGAATAATTAATTTTTGTACTTATGAGAATTGTACGTCAATATTATTTTTCGTAAACAGTTCTCTTGCTGTGGTATAAACGGCAGTAGCAATTATGGCACCTCCTGGTGGCGACTTCAGGAAGTTGGTCGAAGAGAGTTGGTAGTACCACTGAGTTGTTGTACCCTGAACAACACTCATGTTGCAGACTCATTCTTGAATCCTGAACCCACGAACCTTACTCTCTGTCAAGCTTTGAACCCTGCTGAACATCAATATGCTCGGCATACTGTGGTAAGATAGGTTATGTGATAATTCCTTAAAATTTGGTTCACAAGAAAACTAGCGTCACTGACACATCTTTGTTGTTGTATTTAGCATGGCGATAACGATAAAAGCCCGCATGGTAAAATGTATATAGCGAAGGGGAATGATATCTCGCAAATATGGTACAATAGGGGCGTTGACAAGTTGTCAATATGTCGGGTTTCTATGTCGACGTAAAAATAGCTTTCTCGGAATTTCCATAGAGAAATCTGCACGTGACTCTCGATTTCCGTTATTGTGCCTGTTCGATATTCAGTAATTCATATCGTGGTGCGTCGTATGTTCCTAATTGAATATATTTTCATATAGGAAGAGGCACCTGCTGATAATAATTCTCTAGAAATATTCCATATGAAATTCAATACAGGAAGTCCCATACCGGAAGTGGGATATATATGTATATTTTGATGGTTAATACGTTCTGTAATGATATTGCATTGAACATATGGCACATGCATATATTTTTTTAAATTCACTATATGTAGTAGTAAATAAAAAATTTTATTTCGTCAGGGATGCTTGGAGATGATAGAAAAGTGGGCACAAGATCAGGCCCTGACTTTATTAGGAATTGGCTTGATGATCATCATTGTAGAGATCAGCGCATTGCTCAGCACTCTTTTCGCCTGTTCAAAAATTTCGAAGAATAAAAGCGTGGCCCAACCATCTACGTTTACATCGACGCAAACGCTTAGTCCGTTCAATGAATTGGATCATGACTATGGTAAGTCCCAAAATATTCAATGATTTTGATACTGATAAGAGAATGATAATAGGGAGTGACGTGGTAATCTTGTTGACTTAGGATTGGGCATTGAGAACAGGATGAACATGGCAGGGACAACATTTGGCGCCAAATCATGAAGGTGGCTGGAGGGCAGTGAGGGGAGACTGACGTCAAAGACCGAAAATACAGAGTCAGAAGTGGTCAAGAAGAAGAATGAAGAAGCTAGAGGAATCGGAAAGAGCATTATTGAGGAGTGGCAAAATCCTTCCAATGATTCGAAAATGATCATTAGAAGCGATCAGCTGTACGAGGAACGTGGAGTGGACGTAAAAATGGATCATAGATCCTCTTTCGGTCACAGCAATAAAAACGAATCAGAGAAAAAGAAGTACGACCATACCGGACTGAAAGGTTTAAAATCGTCATACAAGTTTAAAGACCACACGAAGGATAATCGCCATGGTACAGAGGTGTTGATCCAGATAAAGAGACCTCAAGATGGCGGCACTGTCAGAAACATACCGATCAAAGATTATCAAGCTTCAATAGCACAAAACTTTGGTACTCTGAGAAAGTCAACAGTGCCGCAGCAGCAATTCGAGTCATTAGTTTCAGAGCCAGAGAAGACGTCGCGTCAATCAGGAAAAAAGAAAACGCGGGAAAGTTTGAAGAATATTCGATCACCCGAAGAGATCGAGGTGACTCAAGACAATAAACCTATTCGTGAAGATTCGGATGATTTCGCCGACTTGAACGAGTATTTTCACAAGGAAGTGATAGATGACTCGATGGAGAAGCACAGAGAGCATCGTACCAAAGAATCCGAAGTAGATGGCGCCACTAAGAAACAAGAAATGATTGATTTAAGGCGCGGGCATGTTGGTAAAAAGATATCCGTTTATGAAGAAACTAGTCGCGGCACTAAACAAGAACGGGATTCGAAGCGTAGAATTTCTGAGATAAAAAAACGAACCATTGGCGTTCCCTTGGTAGGTATGCACAATGCTTGTGGATTGCCTGTAATAGCCCCATGGCCTGATCATGTCTTGAAAACGATACGCATGCCTAATAAACTCACAGAAAATTTAGAATCTATTTCCAAAAGAAGGCACAGTAAAAATCCCAGAAGTCGTACTCATCCAAAACGTAAAGCACCGCAACCGAATAGCTCCTTATCAAAAGCAGTTATTTTACATTCCAGACAAGAGAGCAATAGCGTCCCTATTCATTGCAGGACGCTTAGACGTCCTTCTTATAGAATTGGTAAAAACAATACACTTCCTATTAGAAATACGACATTCAGAAGGCGATCTAGTAAATCGGAAATAAAAAAGGACCCAATCAGCACTTTGGGTAGAAAATCACTCAAGAGACGCAGTGCTAAACGGACGACTTTATATGCAAGAGACGATGGGGTCGAGGCTGTTAAGGCTTTGAAGAATTTATGTCTGAATCCGCTTGCACGTACAAAAGGAGATGCGCATATGATTTGGTAAAGAATAGATAATGCTTGCTGCCCTCATTGGCTTAATGACATTTTTAATGGACAGTTTTGTATGTTGCTGTATATTTATTTGTATATGGATATGTTATACAATATTGATTTTATTTTGAGGTTTTTTAAATTATACTGATGAATTTTATAAAGTGCGTAACAGTATGTATTATTCGATTTGTTTTAATGATGAGTAGGGAGATGCACAACACTACGGTTTTAGGCGATATCAAAAACATGGCGCTAAATCGTAGCGGCGAGTCTGGAAGTAGGATTTTGTGATCATCTCCTCCGTCGACAATGCGAATCCCGTCGCGGCCGAACTAAACGTGAACACGAACGCGTAGCTTGGCGGGCAGAGGTCCTTCGCTACTCAACGCTAGTTCCCAAAGCAATCCTTAGAGGAAGACCGGAAACTATAGAACTTCTCAAGAACTGTCGAAAAAGCCTATTGCTGAAACATTTGTAAGAAAGTGTAGTGCCAATTTGACATCCGTGTAGCATCTCAATTTTTGAAAAATGTTTCATCATTACTAAGTACTACTAAATATCATTGTATCTTGATTTACTTTCAAAATTTATACAAAATATAAAATTGAGGTTAAATCAAAATCTCGCAGAATATACGGAGTAGATAAAAAATCAATTGAAATTATAGAACATCGAAAATAAATTACGTTCAAATTGAAATATTAATAAATTAGGTACTTGGAACATTAAAATAATTAATTAAATCAGTAAATTAAAATATTAACACTTAGAAATCAGAAACTCTGTCCAAGTATATTTGGAAGTACTGGAAGTTGCCCAAAATTGTGTGTGCGCAAATTCGTCGCGCAGGACTCGGTGAGTGTGAGCAGGCTGATGGTGGGGGCAGCGCTCGAGGAAAAGGAAAGGTCCAAAGTGATAGCGCATATAACATACCACACATATATTATATTGCAGTGATATAATTAAAATATGTATATCTCTAATGGCATTGTTATTGCTAACCTTTTGCAGGCCATATATGTAAATTTGTACTTCGTATAGTGTATCATTATTGTATTTGTCGGATATGTGTATGTACGTCTGTACTTCGTATACTGTATCATTATTGCATTTGTCAAATAAATTATCTTTAAACACTTACAATCCGTGGATATTCTTTTACCCTATGCGAATATCCCAGAATACGAATGAGTTCTGTCTTTCCTACTCTTCTCCGCCCTCATAGCATCCTTCTCCTCCACCTCCCTTATGTTAAGACATACCTTTTCGGCTATGCTCCATTTCTTCTGCCATTATTTCTATTCCATCTGCATTTGACCTGTACCAGCCTCTTCCATGGACCCTTCTGACTTTTTGCATAAACAGATCTTTCAAAATATCAAGGAGAAAGTCCTAAACCCAGCCCTTCCCGAAATACAGCTGATTTTCGAATTACTTTCGGAATTATTTTATCTGAGAAAGTTCACTCGTTTCTCAGAAATGGCGCCACATATGCTGTGGCGTAGAAGGAAAAAGGGGTTTTAGATAGTTTAGTTCTACGGAAAATAAGATGCCAAAAACAAGTTTCGTCGAAGCAAGCACGCCTAGAGCTGTAGAGCCATTGTTCAATAGATAATAAAGAATTTGCATTGGACGGTGGTTTATTTTCAAATCCTACCAGTGGTACGCGTATCCCACAATGCCCAGGAGGTGCTGCCCTCTTATCGGGGGAAATTCGAACTAACGTGAAATCTTTAATAAAAATTGATCCACTAAAGTTTCGACAATGCGATTTTCAAATTAGATTTGGAATCATTTTATCGTAGAAGGTAGTATTGATGAATGGAAAATGGAGCACAGCTAAAAAGAGGTTTCGACGCGTAAGAGAGGAGGAGGAGAAGGATGCTGCGTGGACGGAGAAGAGTAGGAGAGACCGAACTCATTCATCAGAGATGAGTAGGGAGATTGCCAATGAGCCTATTTTTGGTGATGGCAATTTTTCTTTGGTTTCGGCGCGCCACCTTAGCGGACGGCCCTCGAAGCAGTTCCACGTTTTTGATTGGTCGTGTATACATAGTAATACTACGCGTGATAATCTGGAGCTGTGTTTTGGCGCGTCGACGCACCACCTGAACGAGACTCTCGAACTATTTCCACGTTTTTGATTGGTCGAATGAATTCGTATGTTCCTCGAGATCCACGATTTTAAACCGGGTGAACACTCAAATAGGGAGACTTGTATCCACCTTTTTTTTTTTACAGGATATTACATAAACCGTAGTAATAAGGTAGTCAATACCCTTAATATCCATATAAAGCTCTGGAAATAATAGAGTAAGCAAATAAAACTTAAAAAAAACTCTCGAACGTGGGTAACTACAGAAATATAAGTTTGCTAAATAATAGACGACAATGACTCGATGGCATACGTGCTTGCTGCTGAGTTAACGTCCGAGAGTCTCGGGTTCGAAACTGACGTCTT